CGTTGTAAACGTTCACGATGTTTAAGAATACTTGCAAAATAGTTCTAACAATACACGCAAAGAGAATTGTCGCTATGAAGTAATAGGAAAAAAGCATAATATCTATTGCGACTAGAATCTGCGTTATATCATGGATATCGATTACAAAATTTATGTTAAGTTAGATGCTTTTCTAAAGAATATGTGACTTTCTTCACAACAATCTTCGATTTTTCAAAAAATATAGGAATATAGGAAAAATAATTAAAATATAGTCTAGTGTCGGACTAGTTTGAAAAATATAGGAAATATAGGACGACTGCGAAGCCAGGTATTCACTAAATATATTTATCGATATAAATCATTTGAATAAGGATTTTTTAAGTAAAGAATCAAATGATGTTTATTCAAGATAAATGAAATCCAACAAAATAAACAGAAAAAAAGTAGTTTAGCCTACACAACAGCTTGTTTTCAATCAAAATATGATAAACTTGTTCAATAAAACATAAATAAGCCCTAATAGTAACAAAAAAAAACAAATGTCTACTAAATTAAAATAAAAAACCATATGTATCTTATTGATTTTTTATTGACCAGCATAATAATAATCGACGAAATGGTGTTGGAATAATACATGTAAACAGATCTTTTCATTGGTACTTAATGCATCTATGATACCAAGTGATACCAAATATTCACTAAATGATGCTTGACTACGTGAACGATTTGTAAAAAAATTTTTAATATAATCGTGCTCCAATTCATTGCGATCGAATTTCTTTAAGATGAGTTCCAAGAGAGTAATATAATCAATATTTAACGAATCACTTTTATTTTTAATGATATATTCCATTTTATTAAATTCATTAACATTAAAATGTACTGGATGATTCATCCGATTGAAATTTGTAATTTCCCATGAGATGGTTTCACCTTTTTCATGTAATAAACAAGCAATAATCATTAATTTACAATAATAATGATTTGGAACATTGTCATCCATCATTGTACCTCGAATTTCTTGAACTATTGGTCCTAAAATTTCCCCAATCATTCTACGTTTAATTGCTTCATATCTTTCGCTTTGTAAAACTTGAATTTCTTGTCGGAGAGATCCAGTTTCAATCTGTAAATTTGAAATTTCAGTTTTCATATTTTCATTTTCAATTAGCATATCGATAACAATTTTTTTGATTTTATCCATTAAACGATCTAGTTGTTCACCTTGTGCATGACCAATTTGATAATGATCATTAATGAAGAAAAAGATGTCATCAATTAAATGATGAATTTGTTGACTAATTGATTGTGGTTCTTGATTCATTATTTCCCTAAATTTATCATCAGCAATATCATCAATGGCTTGTTTTAATTCATCATAAGCTGGACATTGTTTTGAAACATACAAAGAAATAATAGAAATAATTTTGTTTTTAAGAGTACGTTCACGAGACATTTTTACAAAATACAATAAATCTAAAAGATAGAAATGGTCAAACAATATATAATTGAATAAACAAAGATAGCTAAAGTTAATTGCAATTTAATATGTGCTTCTGCCATATTCAATCTTCCATTTTATTATTTTTTTCATTCTGTAGAACCAATAAGTCTAAATTTTAACTAATCAGTTTTTTTCTTTTTTCCTTTCTATATATCCCAGGTTGAGACGAACGGTTAAAGAACGTGTTCCGAACATCGAACGATCTCGTTCCGAACGAGTAGATCGGAACGTGTTCGCTCGTTCCGAACGCGTTTTCTAACCGTTTCGAACGCGTTCTCTATATCGTTCGTTGTCATCATGAATGCTCAGTCTGATTGGGTTATAGACATACCACTTGGTTTCTACTTCTGATACAAAGGTGTCGCTTCTTGCTTTGAAGCTTTCACTTTTATTGTGACAGAAAAACAAGTCAAAATAATATTCAAATTAACAACATAATTTTCATAGAAAAAGCTCCACGAATGAAATGAAGCAGAAAATGTACATGTGAAAGATTAAGAGAAAACGAGAACAATAAAAGACAAGGTTCACGACAAACAAAAAAGTTTCACAGTCATTATGTTTCACAAAAAACTATCACAATTTTCAACATGTGATTGAATAAGAAAATTAAAAAAAAAAGTGTACGAAATGATAAAAACAATCAATTGAGTTTTGCTTTTCAAGCTGTTATACATTATCTTCCGGTGTAAAAAAAAAACAAATAAAAGTATCTGAACTCCATTCATAAGAAAAAGACTCACAATCATTTGTTTCGAAACATAACTCCTCTTCGTTGATTTTCACGAATGATTTTACCTTCAAAATCCCAAAAACCAGCAACTTGAATATCATCATTTTGGAAAAAATATACTTTGACAGCTCCTAAAACAGTTAAACAGATACAATGAAAACGACGAAGCAATACGTAGTACTCACTTTTGATTTTTTCTGTTCGTTCATTGGTGTTTTCGTGCTCTCGAGCCATTATTTCTTCTTTTGTAAATAAGTCATTAATCAGACTTTTCATTAAATGAGCCGGTGTCGGACCGATCGGACGCGAAAATAAATTTCGACCGCCATGTTCCTAAAAGAACAAGATTTACTAAATATAAATAAAGAAGAACTTACAATAACAGGAAGTTCACGAGGTGGTTCACTGGGTGTTGGATTCTAGAAATAAAATTTTAGGTTTTTAATGTGTCAGGATGTGTCGGTTTTATCAACAGCTTTTGAATATGTAGTATATACAAATAACTGTTCTCATATATTTACAAAAATATTAAAAAGGCAGAAAAGGTCAGTACTTATGTACTTTTAGTCGCATTTTTATTATATCTTTGATCATTGAATTTAAATTCAATTATTATTTATTCGTATTTTATCATACCAATCTTCTTTTAAAATTACGAACATATTTATTTTGGTGANCTCACTTTTGATTTTTTCTGTTCGTTCATTGGTGTTTTCGTGCTCTCGAGCCATTATTTCTTCTTTTGTAAATAAGTCATTAATCAGACTTTTCATTAAATGAGCCGGTGTCGGACCTATCGGACGCGAAAATAAATTTCGATCGCCATGTTCCTAAAAGAACAAGATTTACTAAATATAAATAAAGAAGAACTTACAATAACAGGAAGTTCACGAGGTGGTTCATTGGGTGTTGGATTCTAAAAATAAAATTTTAGGTTTTTAATGTGTCAGGATGTGTCGGTTTTAATCAACAGCTTTTGAATATGTAGTATATACAAATAACTGTTCTCATATATTTACCAAAATATTAAAAAGGCAGAAAAGGTCAGTACTTATGTACTTTTAGTCGCATTTTTATTATATCTTTGATCATTGAATTTAAATTCAATTATTATTTATTCGTATTTTATCATACCAATCTTCTTTTAAAATTACGAACATATTTATTTTGGTGATTTTTTTGTCAAAAAGATATCGAAAAAGAAAGCCTTAACAAAAATAAATAAAATTACCTTGTTCACTTTACGAGACAAGCCACTAAGAGATTTTTCCACATTTTCGAACTTTTTTTCAAAAACAATTTCTCGCTGATTCATAATGTCGATCTTTCGATTCATTTCATTCAACGTATTCTGGAAGCCATTCAGTACTTCTGTAAAAGGATCATGAGAAGGAGATGTCACTTGGTCTTGAATACGTTTCCGTTTTAATTGAGGAGTATAATAAGTACCTTAACAAAGAAAATGTTTTCATAACTAACAAATTAGAACTTACTAGTATTTTTGTTGTAATTCGATTGGTGAACAGATGATTGACGTTGTTGACTGTTAATTGGAACATTATGAATCATCCGAAAATCTGTAATAAATTAAATACACTATACAAAGATGTCTGTTTGATAAATGTTACTTACTTCCATCCAATTCATTTTCATCTATTTCACAATCGTCCATATCATCATCAAATGTACGTTGAGTATTTGATATACCAGGTGAAATTTTTCGTATTCTACCAGGTGTCATGGAACCAGTATACTTTGCGGACATTGTTAATCTGAAAAAGAAATATGGTACAAAGCTCATCTGGATAAATTTAAATCATAGTTACTCGTATTGGACCAATAATTTTTAGAATCCAACAATATCTAGAAGAAGAACTATTTTATTAATACCTTAAACTAATCAGTCATGTTCTGTTTCAAGTTCAATCTGAGTACATATAGAAAATTCTCTATCCAATTGAAACAAAATACATTTCGATACGATACATGAACATGGAAGAATGACTAGTTCAAATTTGGAATGTCGGACAACTCGATAATATTTATCAATATACATGTTCCAACCAGAAACTTCTTCGATGGGCTTCATTAAAGAAGATAATATATTATTTGAATTAATATATCGTTTGAGAAATAAGAAGGGTTTTTGATGCACATAAAAGAAAAATAGAATTTGTCCATAATATAAAACTAATTGCATAGGATTTGAATCATCTTTCACACATACATCATAACTGTTGCAGTTTTGACGACGACTATATGATAGAGAATGATAAATGATCAAACCACGTTGATACCTAGAATAGTATTTTAAAGATGTATTCGGAAATTCACCAAGTATTTGGTTGTAAACTAAATGGAATTCTTGACGATAATTGTTCAAAATATGATCATCAAAAAATTTATCTAACACCAATTGTTCATTCGTAAATAAGTGAGAAGAATATCGAACTTCTTTGGAACGTATCTGACGAAAAATACACCACCAAAAAGAAATTTGCTCACATAGAAGAGTAGAACCATGAGCTAGTTTTTCAAATTCATACAAAGAACTTTCAAAAGCGAACAAGCTATAAAAAGAGTATGAAAACTTTAATTAGAACAAGCGTATATGTGAAGAGACGAATTCTTACCTGTGATATGCCAGTCCACCGTGTTGTTCTACTTGCTGCCACAAATGAATTAGTGCATGTACAGAGTACAGCTCTTTACATGGATCATAAATACGTGAGAAATGAGATAGATAAATATGTATAAATTTCGGCATATTTCTTATTTCATTAGGATCATCGAAATGCCGCAATACTCGGATATATATAAACAAAAGTATAAAATGAGATAAGTAAACATCAGGAAAACAATTTGGCATGTTTAAAAGTAACTTTACGAGTACTGGTAAAGCTGTATATATCATAAAAGTTCTTAATTCAGATGCCTTCCATTTAATATAATTGGAAAAATCAACTGGTCGTCGATTAAACGTATGTGGATATTTAATATCATTAAGACATTCATTAATAAAATTCAAGGCTATTGGATTTTGCTTCAACACATTGTGCCATTCTGATAGTAAATACCTAAGAGAAGTACGTGGCGATAATTTAGGTGAAGAATAAGTATTAAGAATAACTGAATTACAACACATTTTATCTCATAGATGGTGTATAAATTCAAAGATACCGATATGATCAGTTTTTATAAAAAAAAAACACTCGAAAAAAACACTTATGACTATGAGTATTTTTGAATTGTTAAAAATGACATTTAATCATATAGATTAACTACTAAAATAGTACCAAATAAATATTCTTCGTCCTTTTCATAAATTACTCACCGAAAATGAATTTCGAGTACCAAGTGAAGGTAATCAAACGTTGATTGATCAGGTATTGATAAAACATAAGATAATGGTGATATTCCAGCAACACCAAAAACATTCTTATTAGCAGCATTAATCTGTTGTGCACATGTATTAATGTGTTGCTGAGTTCTTTGTTTCGGTGGTCTTTGAATGAAATCGATCCATTTGTATAATGTATGATTAGCACATGGTTGTGGACAACGTGATCCTTCCAATAGACACCTTGAGCATGCATAAAAACCATTGTGGTTTATCAATTGATTACACTTGGCCCGTGCTGGAAAGTCGCCGGTAGATAATTGAACGTTGACCATAAAATGAATTATTTCTAAAAAAAGTCAAAGAATTAAAAAGTCCTTTAAGGATTATTGAAGCCATGATTTACTATTATTTATATATATATTTATACCGGTGGCAGCCAACAGTTTTATATTATCTACGACCTTGTTCAACAATAAAGAACTTGGTGGTGCCACTGGTCCATGCCATAAACCAAGTAATAGTATGTTATTGAGATCTTCACGTAATGGTGGAGGTATTTCTACCAAAAAAAGAGATTACCTAAATAATACAAAATATTTTAAACAGAATAAGGTAAGATTAAAATTATTCACAGGCCAAATACTTGTTCGTGTTCTTTTTGATTTTATTATTGGTTTGCCATCGGTATAAATCATTAAACTTAAACGGGGTTCAGTTGTATTAATTCGTTGATACCATTCACCTAAAAATAAAAGGTTCTATGTTATATTCCTATGAAAATATATTCATATGTAACTTACCTCTGATGACATCAGCTGCAAATTGGTTCTCGGCACACGGTACCACTGAATTATATCTATGGTTGATTTGACAACTCTTTCTATTTCTTCATTGAGTGAGAATACACAAAATTCAGCATTTGCTTTTTGTTTTGAATTGCACATCGTGCATATGTCACGATACTCATCTAATTGCTTGAAGCAAAATGAACAAAAATAATATGTTTTGAATATAAATTTAACACCAAGCTGTTCCCATAGAGAATGACTAGTTTTTGGAATATCTGTTGTAAATGATTTTGTCGTTCTCAATAAAGACAAAAGTGATGTTGTTGTTGTTTTATTTAATTTTGCTGTGTGAATAAAATCGATCAGTTGAGAGAGAAAATGATGTTGATGAACATTTTCATAATCAGAGGATAAAGTCACATTAAAATCAGATTGATAAGAGTTGTCTTCAAATAACAGCGAATATATATCTTCATTCGGTTGAATATTATCATCGTAAATTCCATTATCTATCTCAAAAAGGTATTTAATATTGTCAAAGATAAAAATTAAATAGTTTCAAAGAAAAGTTATTACCTTCTTCAGGATCATCTTCTTTCGAATCAGTTTCACCAACATCAACTTCATCAACATCAACTTCATCATCGTGCTGAAGGTCAATATTGTTCATACTGTCTATATTAAAAAGTCACAACAATTAATGTTTCAGAAGTAGACATTCAAAGAGCTAACCTGTATTTAAAAAAATACTTTTCAGACTTGAAGAAGATTTAGCAGATATTCGTTCTCTATAACGTGAATTTTGCTGCTTTTTCAATTTGCGCTCTATTCATGAAAAAGTTCATTACATTGTTAGTTCAATATAATAAATCAACTTACGATAAATAATAAAACGATCAGCTTGAGAAGTGATATTGTCTTTATCCATTTACCAAAACGAAGTATTTTGTCAGCACGACTAAAAATTAAAATGAAAAATAAATATCGCAACAAACAGATGCACCAAACGCTTTTATATAAATTATACAAAAGAAACGCGTTGTTAAACGAAACAAGGCTCTAAAATATAATAATGGACATATATCCCTTTGTGGTCACCATTTGAATGTCGTTCAGTAGCGACCTCTTTAAAGAAGCTAAAGAACGCTACGAACGCGTTCTGAATGGTCGAACGTTATCGAACACGTTCTGAATGCGTTTTCATCCGTTCGTCCGTTCGGAACGCGTTCTTCATCCGTTCGTCTCGACCTGGAAATTCTAAGTCCACAATATATAGATGTCACGCTATTCTATAGAGAACATAGTAGTATATTATAGTAACATTTCAATACAATGTTTATTAATAAACCTGTGCAAAAAAGTAATTGAAAATAATAGTTAAACGAAGAAAATTCTGTTATCTTTTTATATACTGAGTTGTTTCGAATTGTCGAGCATCATATTCATCATTTACTTTTGATGATTTTAATATGCTATCAACATCACCCTCTTTCCGTTCTGGGTTACATGTTGGACATGAATAAGTACTTGTTTTACTAGTTATATTATTAGTAGAATTTGATAATCGAAGAAAATATCCAGCAGCAGCGTTCCGAATGAGAATTCGAAGTAAAGTGAAATGTAGCACTTTATTTCAGTAGATACAGTGCAATGTTGCACCCTATTTCAAGAACCAAAGTGGAACAAAGTGCAAATATATAAATTTATCTAGAAAAAAAGAAGTAATAGCTAATGTTTCATATTCTAGACTTATTTGTGTATGTATATATTGTGTGTTAAGTAATATGAGATTTTTCTTCTTCTCGAAAATCCTCTTGAGTTAATGTGTGTTATAGGAAGATACAATCTAGTTTGATTTTTTTTAATGTTCCTTCGAGCATCTTTTTCTTGTTCAATGTCAATAGATTAACAGCGGCACTCTATGTCTATCATAAAAGCATTGTACTTCCGACATTATTCTTTTATTCAATTGAATACATATGTCCGGAAGATGACTGTAAAAAATTGTTGAATCTGTTTAATCTTATCGTTTGTATATACATAGATATATATTCACACTTACTCTTAAAAAATGATGAAGTTATATGTAAGCAAAAAAATCTTGATCAATGTGTATGCGTGTGAAAGCAACAGACTGACACATTTGTCAATAGATACATACGGATAGACATATTTTCACATTGTATATAACGTCATTTGACACTGACGAGATCAATATCCGACTGTTAAGAGTATTTTTTTTTCATTGCATTTGCCTTTTTTTTAATATAAAATGAATATTTGTTAAATAGTCGAACAAACCACATACATCTACTCTTTTCTCTGTCAATCGTTATAGCAAGTGTGCATATGGTTAACAAAAAAGAAAATGTGTGAGACAATTACTTTGCACTTCTATTGTCTATCTTTATTTCCTTATGTATTTCATCTTTGTTAACCCATTGGTAATTGGAGTAAATGTGTGAGTTTAAATAAAGACAAAAAAAAAGAAAGGAATCGACGATCATCTTACGTAATTTTCTAGTTAATAATAGGACTAATGATTATAATCTTACTCTTTATACTAATAGACAATGTTTTTAGTAGACAGGTAGCCAATACAAATTTCTTTCCATGACATAATTCATTTGATACAATTTCAATTAATTTTTTTTATCGTCTCAACTATTTAAAAAGAAAAATAAATCTCATTTAATCATACTGTTCTTTATCATTATATTCATTTTTTTACATATAAAAAAGAAAAGAAAAAATGCTGATAATAAACAAAATATATTCAACAATTAGAATATATCTTGATTATCATCATTTTGTGGACAATAACTTGAATGAAAATCATGATCAATTAATTTTAGATGAAAATATTTTTTTCTTTTTAACCATAGATTAAGTACAGATGCAAGTGTTCTTTGTTCAATATCATATTTAGACCATACTGAACGAAATAAAAATCCATGTAAAGTACATGATGGTGCAAATATCGATATACGATGACTTGATTGATAAAGATTATCACGAAGTTTTAATGAAAAATCATAAGAATTTAAATTTATTTCATCTAATTGTAATTGTGTAAAATCAAATAATGATTGTAATAATAAAAATTTTAACATATAATGGAAAATATTTAATTGCTTCACTACCTAATAAACATTTATAACGAGGTTCTAATTTACATAAATTTGATATTTGTGTATTCCAATAAATCATTCCTTGATTAATTTTTGATATTCCATTTGGATTAGATGGATAATCAATAAACCTAGCAGAATCAATAATAACACGAATATCAATATGTAAAGAAAATTTTCTTAATAAATCCGGTAGATTTAATAATTAACCAAGACCACCAGCTGGAAAACCTGTGAAAATAATTTGTTTAGCATTAAAAAAATATTTTTTATGATGAAATATCGCATGAAATATATCATAACCATGTGAATTTGTTTGATTTGATGATCCTGACCATAAATCTGATGAACAATAAGGTACATAAATAATATTATATTGTTTAAGTGATGAAAAAATTCCTGTAAAAAATTTTTTATTCGAATTAAAATTTAATGATGTTATTAAATTTGGTGAATATTGTCGACGAAATTCACATGATTCATTTGAATAACAAAACCAACCACCATCAAAATAGATTAACCAACGAGAATTATTATTATTATTATTATTTGTTAAATCTATATAATATGAAGCTATCCTATTAACCTTAATACGTTCTGTTGAATAATTC